GCCCGGGAGACGCTGGGGTTGGGGCGGGGAGGGTTCGGTTCCGTCGCCGCGACGTGCGCAGGTGTCGCGTTCTTCCGCCCTGCGGAAGGGGCGTGGGGCACGTGGTGGGAAGGTCGCGTTCGACGCAGGGCCCCGCCCTAGGTTCGTGAAAAGATGTTTGAAAATACGAGAGCCACCGGGAGGTGCGTCGGAGTGCAGTATTTCTGTGTTTGCGGACCAAGCCTTGACAGTGAAAATGGATGTATTTGTGTTCTTGAAACCGTAAATAAGGAAATGTGAAGGAGATTCTGGTATGCCCCTGCGGTGGAGTACTATGCGCCTCTTAAAATAGCTCGACTTAGGTTAAACGAAAACAAGTCACAGGACTCAGTGTATAAATATATATTTATTACATATTATTTATATAGGATATTTAACAATTATAATAAACAACATATGTTGCATTTTATTGTTATGTAAATATGTTTTATACCATTGTGTAAAAATTGCAAGAATACACTTAAATACCCATATGTGTAAAAATCCGAAAGCAGACACAACTGGCTCCAAGCAGGTGGGTGGAATTGGAGGAAAGATCTATGTTTCATTGAATTATTCATGTAAGGCTTGAAATTTTTTTGCAGTGTTTGTGAATTACCTATTGAAAATGTGTTTAAACAAACAAAATAACTTTTTGTTCATTCAGCTAACACTGAGTACATACTTTGTTTTCCTGCACTGCTAAGCATTGCAAGTAAAGGCAGACCCTATTCTGAAGGAGCACAGATTTTGGAAAAGGGAATAGAGTACAAAGTGTCAGGATAGGTTATCTAGAGAAGATGATGTCCAAACCAGGCATATGAATGATGAGTAAGAATTTGTTAAAAGGGCAAAAGTTTAGGGAAAGGAATTGAAGTTTAGGCACAAAAAACAATATGCAGAATTCATGGGTCTGTTCAGGGAATTTAAAGTTGCATAAAGGGAGAAGTGACTAGAATTTGATGGCCTCGGTTCATGTTGCCTAATATTTTCTCTTGTTTGGTATCTTTCATTATGTAATTCTATTGACATGTTCATGCTGATCTGGCTGTGGTTGGTTGCTACATGGATCCAATGGCCTCACCAAGTGTGAACTTAGGCTTTTTTTCTGGAGTATTTGGAGGGAATTTTACTGAACATTCAAGGATAGCTAGCATACAAGAATTTGACCTGAAAAGTTACCTGGAATTGCATAATCTGATTCATTCATCTTTAGCTTGGGGGAGGAGAGATCCTTGTCCAAGGACTCTAGGTTCCAGAGGCTATTTTGTCCCTCCCATCTGAGTGTCTTCACTCAAGTCTTTCCTTGAGATAGACATCTAGAATGGCCCCTCCTTTGAGTAGAAACTCAATTCCTTGCTACTCTCAGATGTAGGTTTTACGCATAGACCCAACGGAACAACTCCATCAGGATATTACTCAAAAACCTGGCGTCCTTGAGTGTCAGAAACATTCCCATACTGTTAGAGGAGGTGAGTAGCTGGAGAAGTCACTGGTGCCAGCTCATGCAGGGTCTTGTAGTGTGTCAGTATGCATATAGAACTTTATCCAGTGGACACAAGGGAAAGTGAAGGGAAAGGTCAGAATTGGGTATATAAAAAGTCATAGAAATGGATATAGAGTTAACGTGAAGAAAATAACTTGGGAAACCTGGCATTTTATCACTAACTGATTGGATGATTGTGGCAAATCATTTAGCCTCATAGAGTGTCAATGCACTCATCCATAAAGTGAAGGAATTGTTACCTAAGACAGCAGTTCCAAGTCTGAAGTCCTTTAATTTTATATCTATCCAACCTCCAAATCTAAAGCCACCTATAAAGTAGGAAGTAACCCTCTCATGAAAATGTCAGGGCCACAGAAGTCAAATGTATATTATTCTTGCACAGGACTAAGATGCATTATTTTTTTGTAAACAGGAATTGTAATGATCGGTTGCTGCAGAACAGTACACTCTCATGCCTTGGTTTCCTTATCTGGAAAATGTACATAATTGCCTCACAGAGTGAATTTAGGATCAAATGAGATAATGTATGTGAAGACATTTTGTAAATTATGAAAAAATATACAGTTAGTATATAAAACTCAATGCAGTGTATTTTTTAAAAATTACATTGAGAGAAGAAAGTTCTAATCACAATATAAATTAATGTTTTAAAGTCAGCTCCATTCCTGTCTCTATTTTATATCTTTACCTTTATTTTTTCCTACATGTACTTCATAATATTTTGTTATGTTTTCTCTAAGCCTATATGCTGTTTTAAATCTTGTTCAAAAGCATACAGTATATAAATAAAAACCACACAAATTTTATTTTAAGCATTTTATTTAGCTCCAAAAATTCAAAAACATTTTTTAAGAAAAAGTCCTCAGTCAAAATAACAGAAATAAACCTCTCTTCCCTTAAGTGGCAGGATACTTCCTGGGATTTTCCATTTAGTTTGATTTTCAGCTATTTCACCCCCTTGGGGATGAATTCCAATTACCTCATATCTCAGTCTTACATCATATATGGTCTGAAGGTCATAACTGAAATTTAAAGATTGTGGGAGTACATTCTCTAAGGTCTCCTTGTTCTCTATGGCATTTTAAAGTAGTGTTATATTGGAATTTTACATTTAATGTTCCAAGCCAACTTTTCATGTGTTTATATTTTCTCTGGTTTTGATTGCTGAGACTGTGGGAAGAGAAGTAGGGTAGGGTGGGATGGGAGAAGGGTGGCTTGGAATATGTAATCCATAGGTTTTTACTTTGGTTTCCTTAGCCAGTTCTTGAATGAACTCCAAGGGCTCTGATCCTCCAGAAATGGATGCAAAATGTATGTATTTGCATATATGTAATTTTATGGAGAGATTCTTGCATGAGTCCATGATCTAGAAATAGTGAAGAACCACTGTGAAATGCCCTCTTTCAGCCATTTCTAAACACCATGATGGAACTAATTTTCCAGCAAATACTAATAAGCTCAGTACCAATTTTGGAGGAAGAAAGAACTAGTTTCAAATCTTGAATTTCCCATCTATCATTGAGTGATCTTGGATAAATTACTAAAACTCTATAAGACTTAGTTTTCTCATGAGATGACATAAGCGTCTAGCACGATGTTGAGCTCACAGCAGACATTAAATAAACATTGAAGTCATTTCCCTTTCCTTTCATCCTCACTTTGTCCTCCAACTCCGACTTATCACTAAGAACTGTAGGAGTTAAGTGAGGCCAACAGAGACTCTGCCTTAAAGGAGACTAGAGTTTCCTTGTGCTGAGTCATGAGTGGCTTTGGTCTGATGAAGGCAACAGGAGAGAGGTACCACGTTATTTTAGAGGACGGAATTTTGTTCTGAGGAACGAGGATAGGGTTTATGGAAGGAGACCTATTTAAGCTGAGCCTTTAAGGATGTTATTTTTCATAGTTATTGCTTTAACCTAGTCACTCCAGATGCTTCAACAGCCCCCTTCATTGTACTTTGTTCACCTTATCCACCTGATCTGCCATTTATATTCCAGTTGGTTAAGCCACTTAGTATCCCATTTTATTTTTCTCTTCACGACTTATTTTTGACCACATGTCAAAGCCAGAAATGACTGTTTTCCCTCTTCCATTCCATTCTGCTCTCCTTCAAAAACTTACTTGGAAGAGTCAAAATTAAATGATCCTTAGTCAATGTATGTGTAGGTCAGTGAAGAAACTTTCTTTTATATGTAGCCTATTCTTTTTACCAATGGACTGATCGTTAGTAATACGAGGGTCCTACATAAGTACACGGACCAGAGAAACAGTGAATATTGCAATAATAATAAGCTTATTTTATAAAATAGTGGGTTAAAAATATAACTACATAAAATATTTTGAATTAATAATTAATAAAAAACTTAAAAGTGAATTAAAAACCAAAATAGTGTTCTTAAATTAACTACTTTTCTGAGTCCTTAACATTTGTTTGTGCATTCAGTAGAGAGAGTGGTCTGGAGAGAGGCCCAATATTGGATTCCAGAAGACCTGAATTATAGTCTCTTCCCTGCCACTACCTAGCTGACCTTGAGAAAATTATCTTTAAACTCTTTGTCATATGTTCAATAGAGAGAATAATTCCGGTGGCTTACATAATAGAATTGCTGGGAGGTAGATGTGAGAGCACTCTGAAAAGTACATTATTACTTGGAGAGAGTATATATACCAAACTCTGGGTAAATGATTTTCTGCACATGTATCTAAGTATATTCAAAGGCCAACTGCATAATATCAGTAATATTTCGTTATCTGCTGGTTTTTTTGTCAGTAGAGACTGACCATGCAATTGCCTCAGACCCTACTCTCCATTTATCTTTAATGTGTTCTATGTCCTGTGTTAATTGGTAGGTGTTCCTTGTTTTGGAAAAGTTGGGAATGAAATAAATGGAGATGCATGAGGAGTATACTACACTTTTGGGCTGAAGAGAGAACCATTTACTACCGTAAGTGCTTCGATTTATTTAAATTTTACCCCTAAATGTCTTTAAATTTTGACAGAAAGAAGTTTGTTTTCTCTCCATTTTTGAAGAAATGATAAGCTAGCTCTATCCCAATGGGAGGGGACAGAGAAAACCTATCACTGATGTCTTTAGTGTAAGACTGGCATCTTAGGAAATAAGTGGTGCAGGGAACTGTGAGATCACAATTCAAGCTTCTTCTACCTCCTCTCCCTCCCATCTCATCTTTATCTCTGCTTCTAACAATCGCATTATCAGAATTTTCAACATATGGAGTGAGACAAAGAAAAAACCACCACAGGATCACATTTCACTTCTAATCTGCAGAAAATAGGAGTCTGTTTTTCCAAAATTTCTTATTTTTAAAAATAAAAGTTCAGTTATTAAAACAATATTTTTTTTTCAAAAATTGAGATTATGTCTAAAGGCTCACATTTAAAAATTGGCAAGATTAATTTAGATTTGTGCCAAGAATTGTCGCTGCACCTTTACTGATCTTTTAAATTTCTCAATTTAAGGACTCGGGGGATCAATGCTCAAGAACTTCTTGAAATAAGCAGATTATGAGAAAGTACAGCACAACCTTAAAACGGCAATCAACGTTTATTCTTAGGCAGTTTGTGCATCAGAAATCTAGGAGCAGTTTTAACTGGGTGCTCTGGCCTGAGTTCACTCATGGGGTTGCAGTTAATCTGCAGCCATCTGTGCTTGACTGGGGCTGGAGGATCAATTTCCAAGATAGCTCATTCACGTGGTCCTTGGCCTGGGGCCTTAGTTCTTTACCTCAAGGACCTCCCGTAGGACTGCTTGAGTATCTTCATGACATGGAAGCTGATTTCTCCCAGAGTGAGACACAGAGAGGGAAAGCATAAGGCCTAAACCTCAGTGTCTTTTATGATCTAGCCTTGGAAGTCACCTACCATTTCTGCTGTATTCTTTTGGTCCCATGGACCCATTATGATAAAACATAGGAAGCGACTACACAAGGGAGTTAGTACCAGGGGCACGGATCATTGGGGGTCATCACAGAAGTCGGCTACCACAACCCCAGGGGGTAAAAACAGGGATCTAATAAATGTCTAACCATCTGGAAATCAGGTGCATATGAGTCAAATCAGGTTCATTTAACCTGTCTATCTACAATAAAGTTTTACTATAAATAGCTTAGTCTATAAAGAACTTTATTGTAGTTTTGGTTTTGTGTACTTCTAAAAATATTTTAGATAAAGGACCTGAAAATGATTATTTTACAGTTGGAAAAGGAAGAAAAAACATTTTTCAGTTTTTAAAAGTTATATTTCAAAGCAATTGTTTTGAAAATAAAGTACAATGACAACATAGCTCCTTAAAGTTTTTTTAAAAAGGGTTATTTGCTTCTATGCCAAGTGCTTAAGGATTCATGTGGTTCAACAGAGTAAAAAATTTATTTCTACTTTTTCATTCACTTCTTTCAATACTTTTATTGGAACTTAATATTTTCCTACTTGTGAAAACATATCAAAATATTATAGCAGTTGGTTATGCATTTTAAGTTTCAAGTGAAAAAAAAATCTACATTAAATGCAGGTAGAGGAACCACTGCCTTTAGTTAAGCAAGTTTAAGGTACAAACAAGTAAAAGTTTGACTCTTATCTTATTCTCTAAAACTAGTCTTTTCTGGCACTGTAGTTTAGTAATCTTTATTAGAACTGAAGGCTTATGTCGTTTTAGAATCTTATCTTGAAGTTTTTATTACTAGACTTAATGGAGAATATTTTTTACTCTTAGTAAGTGGAGATTTTAATTTTCTTGATACTACATTTGGTACAAATTATAATGTAAAAGCATCTGCTAGAAATAGTGTGTTATTCAGCATTGATATACTATACTTTTTCTTAATTTTTTCTTTAGAAAAATGAATTATAGACAAAAAGCTCTTTAGAACTAGATTCGACTTCCTCTCTTTGAATTGACTGAATGCATTTCTGGAAATTTCTCCTTTTACTTCACCCCAAAAGACAGTAAATCTAAACACCAACTGTGAGATTGTTTCATCTGAACCCCAAGATAAGCGTTTTCCTTATTTGTGAAAGAACAGATTGAATTCCTGATTGAAACACACAATCTGAATTATTTACCTTTTCTTTTTTGGTAACAAGCAGAGATCAGTAAGTAAATATATAATATGTTTTAATATGTGACCTGGGATATAGGAAATTGAAAATGGACTCAGTATACAGGTATCCCTCAATTAACATTAATTCAGTTAAGAAAATTAATTAAAACAAAGACTATAACAAGAGATAAAGAAGGATCCAGTAATTCCACTTCTGGGTATTTATTCAAAGAAACCCAGAACACTACTTCAAAGGGACAGGTACAACCATATGTTCATTGCGATATTATTTACAATATTGTTTTACAACAATACAACAATGTTATTTACAATGTAATTTTATTTACATTATGATGTAATGTTATTTACGATGTAATGTTATTTACAGTGTCCATCAATGGATGAATGGATTAAGAAGAGGTGGTACATATATACAATGGAATATTACTCAGCTATAAAAAAGAATGGAATCTTGCCATCTGCAACAATGTGGTTGGACCTGGAGGGTATTGTGCTGGGTGGGGTAAGTCAGACAGGGAAAGACTAATGTCATATGATTTCACTTACATGTGGAATGTATATATGGAGAAATGAACAAACAAAACAGAAACAAGCTCATAGATAGAGAGCATTTTGATGGTTGCTGGATTTGGGCGGGGTTGGGAGAATGGGTGAAGGGAGGGGAGGAGATTAAGAGGTACAAATTGATAGTTACAAAATAGTCATGGGGATGTAGAATATAGCATAGGGAATATCATAATAAGTCAGCAGTATCATAATAAGTATGTATGGTGTCAGATGGGTACTGGATTTATTGGAGTGGTTTTTCTGATCACTGTTGTATGTCTGAAATGAATGTAATGTGTGCCAACTAATTGAAAAATAAAAAATATTAAAAAAAAATTTGAAGTCACTAAGTCACTCAAGCAAATAGCTATTCAATGGTTAATTTAATGTAGCTGTATAAGAGAATTATTTGAGACGTGCCATTCATGTTCCTAAGGATAGATAGATATATAGAGAGATTTACCATAAGAAGCTTAAGCTGAGGGTCCCTCACTTGCATGAACCCCTTCCAAGGCAAATGTGCAATTTTCTTTTCTTTCTTTTTTGGTAAAATTTGCAAAACTAAAATATTTAAACCTTAATTCGTGAATTCTTTCTCTCCACTCAGACTACCTGTCTGTCATACTTCCCAAGTGTTAAGAGGTGAGAGACAGAGAGAGAGAAGGAGAGAAAGAGAGAGAGAGAGAGAGAGTGTGTGTGTGTGTGTGTGTGTGAGAGTGTGTGTATACATACTGGTTAAGGAAGATTTGAATTGGGGACACATTAAGCTTTGTAAGAAATATTTATTCAGTTACTCGTGTGTATAGTTGAATTATTGCTAGTTGTCCAGTATGGAAAAGGCTTCCAGGAATACTGCAGACCTTACTGTGCTGACTCAGCATGACATCATGTAATGTAGAGGTCATATCTCAGTGTAAGCATGTCTTATTGGATTAGCTTTTTTTTTTTTTTTTTTTTACTGAGTAACAAAATACCACAAATGTAGTGGCAAAAACAAAACAAAACAAAACAAAAAAAACCCAAACACCATTTATTACCCCATACTCTGCAGGGCAAATGTCCGGGCATGGTGTGATACGTTCTCTACCCAGCGCCTCACAAGGCTAAAATCAAGGTGTCAGCTTAGCTGCATTATCATCTGGAATTTGAGGTTCTTTTCCAAGCTCATATGGTGTGGCAGTATTCAACTTCTTGCAGTTGAAGGGCCGAGTCCCTATTGCCTGCTGGCCATTATCCAGGAGCTGTTCTCAGTCACTAGAGGCTACTTGGCATTCCTTGCCACATGGCTGACTCCATCTGCAAAGCGGGCAATAGGGAATCTCCCTCATTTTTAATCCTTGTGCTTCTACTCTCTTTGTCATGAAGGGCCCTGTCCCTTTTAAAGACTCAACTGATTAGGTCTGGCCAGCATGGGACAATTTCCCTATCTTGAAGTCAGTTGATTTAGGACATTAATCACATCTACAAAATTCCTTCCCATCAGCATCTAAATTAATATTTGATTGAACAACTGGGAGAAAGTGTACATAGACCAGGGCATGGAGATCTTGGGGACCGTCTTAGAGTTCTGCCTACCAGCACTGACATATGTAGGTTACTAGAAGGTGTACCTATAATAAAGCTTTTCAACTCAGAATCTATATCTTCAAAGTCTTGGAAGAAAAATTCAACATAAATAAAGTGAACATTTATTCAAAAAGTTGACACAGCTGTAATATTCCACTGTTACTGCATTGTTTCTATTAAAACTAATAAATTCCAGAGTCTTAATTTATTAAGAAACTAGAGATTCCAGTTTATTAAAAACAAAGAGTACATGAAGAATTAACAGAATATACATTAAAAGCAATAAAGATGAGTGAGTAATAAAAATTATCCTGTCATAGAGAACTAAATTATAACAAAAGGCTTTGGAGAACATACCAAAAGCAGTAGTTCATTACAAGGGAGAAATACATTTTGAAAAGCAGTAATAAGCAGGTTCAGTGACTATCTTGCACTCAGATGAGAGGGGCCCTGCCCTGACCCCTGCACTTTGCACATCACAAATAATGACGCGCAGAGAGTGTTAGCTTTCTTTTTGACCTCATAAGAGAGGTTCCTGAAAGTTTGGAAACCAGCAGAGGACCAGAAATTATGAGAGGGGAACGTGTAAGGAGGGCTGACCCTGAGGCCAGAGGAGACTGGCTGAGAGCAGGAGAGGGTGCGTGGGTTGGGAGGAGCGCTGTACCTAACGCAGCCTGTGGAAACCAGAGAATGAGGAACTGCTTTAAGTTGGTTGTCCCAGATCACCCTGGTGGGAGGGTAGGCAAATCACAGTCCCTAGACACCTGCTGCTTTCTCTCTTCTGTTTCGCTGGTGTAGTTTTGAGAAGTGAACTTCCAGAAGGGATGGGATTTTTTGTGAGGCAAGTAGGAGAGCATGTGCCCACCTGAATCTGAGGAGCTTAACCACGTCACTCCTCTCGAGCTTCCCGGTGGGTCCAGGCACCACTCAGGATTCCAGGGGCTAGCCAGGCCCAGCTTGCTGATACCCTGTGTATGGAAGGACTTTCTTTTTGTGGGGGAAGGGGTGAGGGAGGAATTCAAGATTGTTTTTATTTCCAGATCCTGCAACAGTTGGTTAGCAATGCTAGTTAAGCTAGTACAGTCCGAAGGCCCTTTTCAGGCATTCAACAAACAGAATCCCTACAAACAAGATTGGAGACCAACTGAGATGTGTCTCAATGTATGTGGGGAAGAGGTCTTCCTCTTCCCCCTGTTCCTTTATTCCTAGCTCTTTAGAAGAATGTAATGCAGTTAATTGAGCTAGGAGAAGACCAGGTATGTGGGATGGAGGGGAGAGAATCAAAAATTCTGGTTTGGACATGTTGAATTGAGGTGCCAGTAGACATCCAAGTAAAGATGTCAAATTAGCAGTTGGACATTTGAGTGTGGAGCTTGGGGTGATGGTCTGAGTTAGAGATGGAGATACTGTATAGATTGTATTGTCGTTGGGGCCAAACGTTTTTTCAAGTACCTGATAGACATTTGTGGTTCCTTTAGTATAGATTATATATTTGTATTCACTACCTGTTTATCTTCTGAGTCTATGGCAATTATTGTTAAAATTTCCTAGAAGTTTAATACTGAAAATGTGTAACAGACCACCCCAAAGTGTCTAATCTTCACAACAAATTTGATAGTTATTTTTAAATTTAAATCTTTATCTAGAAAGAGACTGAGGCTTAAGGAGATTAAATAATTTCTCACGTCATGTCATGACAGCTAAGTGGATACATGGGTCTAAAGAGAATTTTGATCTCTATATACAAATTTAGAAGTCATCAGCATATAACACATAAGAAAAAAGTATTTGTCCTCTAACAGAAAGTGATGGACACTTCATATTCATGCAGAAGGAATATATCGAGTCCCCAAGGGAATTCTCAGGATGGTATATATAGTAACTCAGACTTAGAAACCTGATTTCTCTTGACGGTCAGAGTGAATCCATCTTTCAGGAATGGACTCACATTTACCTAATTTCTAGGTCTGATTTTTTAAAGCAGAATGTCAAATTGCAATAATAAATCACTGTCCAAGAGACAGGAATATGTAAAATTCATGCAACTCAGTTTTTCTTATCTTGGACAAAAAGCAGAGTGTATGGAAATATTTAATGACTTTAAGCTAAGAGAACATGAAGTGTCCATCTCGCTTTTGAGATGATCTTTCCAGGGCGTGACTCCTAATGCCTTTAATCAGCTCATTCATTCTCATTTCATTAGCCTGACCACACAGTTGTCTCACTCTGAACTTCATGGTGGACCTGTTTGTCCTCTGAAGACATTTGGAACCCTGGCCCAATGGCCTTAACCTAGTACCATATACTCTGATGAGTAAAAAACTCCCCTGAGTAGTATTTCAAAAGAGAATGCCAATTTTTATCTCGGAGATCTTTCTTTTTTTAAGCCTCTAAGGCTGATCAACCCTCCTTCTGATGGACAGTCGCTTCCCATATCTTAATAAATTCAAACAAATTTCCATCAGGTTATGCCCTGGGATCCAATCCAGATCTTTAGGGCACCCCTATTACTTCATTTTGCAGCACATTAAGCCCTCTGTCTCAATTACAACTGTATGACTTAGCCAAGCCATCGATTCAGTCTGTGGTTGTTTCTTAATCTGTAAAACGGAAAAAATAATATCAAAGTCATAGGGTTACTGTGAAGTGCCTAGGGTCTGTGAAGCTCTTAGGATATCATCTGTTATTATTACCACATGTCATCATTATATGCTGAATTTTAACAAATTCTCACCGTACAAACTTATTTCCAAGTCCTTAGGTGAACCCTTACTGTAAAACACAGTGACTATAATGTCAGTTACACATGGTTTTGAAGCTTAAAAAATAAGAGACAGTGGGCCCCGTAATATGAGCTTCAAATTGAACTGATAAGCGGCAATCAGAGAGATTAAAAAAAAAAATTAGGCAGGAAACAAACATTATGTGTTGTTTTATTTCATTTTTTTCTTTTAGCATTAGACCTCTTTAGCAGTCTGATAAAGCTCATGGACGCCTTTTGAAAATGATTTTAAAGGCACAAAATAAAATACAGAGGATTACAGAAAAATTAAATTATATTAGAATCGTGTTATTAACACATTAAATACCAAGATCTAACAAGAAGTCTAATAATGACCATAATTTAGCAGTCGGGATGAGTGTAAATGATAGGACAAAATATTTGTATCAATTGCATTTTGTAATGAAAACATCCATATTTCGATCAGTGACAAAGCCATAGGTACTGCTAATACCACCATAGTTTGTTGACGATAATCATAATTTAAGAAGATGTTAAATTTTAATTAGAGT